CATCTATCATTTATTCTATCTATCTATCTATCTATCTATCTATCTATCTATCTATCTATCTATCTATCTATCTATCTATCTCTTATATCTATCTATCTATCTATCTATCTATCTATCTATCTATCATTATCATCTATCTATCTAAGGTTGAATCCAGATTTCTCCAACTCTGTCCAGCTTTTTAAACTTTCACATCTTCTTGACATCTGTTGATTTGTGGATTTCATGGCTGGGGGTTAGGCTTAAGACTTCCCCACAAACCATTATCTTTCCCGTTGAGATGGAAATGTCCATGCTCACAGCTTCTTTGGCAGCTGGAAATGGGGAAAACTGGTCTGAATCCGCCTGCTGCACTGGGAGTAACTGGGTTGCAGGATAAAAAATAAATCAGCTTTGGATTCTTTGACAAGGGGGGAAATTGGATCCCACTGAAACAAAGCCAACTGGCCTGAAATAGGATTCTGTCCCCCGCAAAGCCACCCCACAACATACAGGAGGTAAACTTAGGGCTACCAATCTCTCCCCACACACCCCAGCATGACACGACAACTGGCAATCTGCACAGGGCCGATAAGCCCATTCCTAAGCAGCTCCGGCAATTAAAATCTCCCACGTGGGGCGTATTTCAAAGGATTAAAACCCTTGTTCTTAAACGGGTCCTTTTCGTTCCTTGGCTGGAGTTTCAAAAAGCCGGGATGAAACCTCCGGATCGAAAGCTCTCCGAGGTTTTCAAATGGCGCCAGAGCTAAGGAGAAGCAGCCGAATTCTGGGATTCCCGAGTCGAAAACGAAGAAAGACGGCTTCTCAAGTTTTCCACAAGGGTCCCAAATATTGGCGGATGGACCCTCCTCGGTCTGAAGGAAAGGGGATGTGTAAGGGGCAAATAATGGGGACCCTCTTCTGGCACAGTAAAGTTTGCTTGTTTTCTAAAGACGTTTCATGACCCCACTAGGTAACATCATCAGTGCTAGTAAGGAGTGCTGTTTGCTGTCAGTTTATATTCTGTGTGTGTGTGTGTGTGTCTTAGAGATTATTCCATTGGGCTCTTTGGCAGTTCTTTGATTGGTGTCTTGTTGACGATATTAATGATGTTAACCTGATGTTAACCTTGGAGTTCATCTATGCTGATCTGTGATCTGCTGGAATGTTTTTGTTCTCTTTTGCGTAGTCTCTAGATGTTGTTAATGTCTATGTGTGTATTGATGGCTAATTTGTCAGAGTGCCAGTGTTAGGCCTGCAGCCATCTTTTCTTTTGGATCTTCGGCCTGCCACACTTTCTATTATTCTACTATGCCGTTTCTATTGTGGGAAAATGGGAGAGTGAATTGTATGGAGTTAGATGATATGTAGCCATAACAACATTCTTNTATTTTCTTGTGGATCTCAGGCCCGCCACACTTTCTATTGTTCTACTATGCGTTTTGTATCGTGGGAAACAGGGAGGGGGGATTGTACGGAGTTAGATGCTATGTAGCCATAACAAAATTCTTTCGAAAAAGCCAAGGTCATCCTTTGTCTCTGCACCTGACCGGAACTGGATGGATGGAAGCTGCCAGCATGGCAGTGAGAGATTGGATCATGTGATGGACTTGTGTGTGTGAGGGCAAGATCTTGAACTTTCAACTGGGAAAACCAGGAAGCCTTCAGATTCGGGTTTTCCCAGATGTGCCAACATGTCTCTCTTCATAAATTAAGCAATACTTTGCCTTGGACTCTGATTTACTTTTGGATGCTATTTGGAACCCTATATTATATAATAAATAAAACTAATAGCATTAGTCATAGTTATTACTTTCAACCAACTAATATATTTCTAATAGTAATACATATTTATATAAAGTTGCAATCTGTCGTTATTCAATTATTTCACATTTTCTCTTATTATTGCTCTTATTTTATTATATAAAAGTGTATACGCTAATATTCCCCTTTTGTCTTATTTCTAACTTTTAATCACATCATCCTTTATTTTTTTTAAAAAAACATTTTCTTTCTGGCCAGCTCTTTGAGTCTCCAAAAACAGAACAGAAAGGGACTAAATTTGCAAAAGCAAAATGAAAATGGACTGGATTTCGGGGGAGGGGGGAGAATACAACTCCAATGCATCTTTTTTCAGTGCTGTTGTAACTGAATTGAACGGTCATTAAGTGAACTGTTGTAAGTTGAGGGCTACCTGTAACCATATCCTCCTTTCAACACCTTTATCATCCTTGGGGAGTTTTGCTGGCAGGAGTTCAAATCCAGAAACTTAATGGCATCTGAACTTTAGCCCTGTGTCCCCTCCCCTCTGGCTGTGTCATAAATCACATTCACCAACAAGGTGCTACGGCAGGTTATGGACATGTGCATTCACATGCCAGCTGCAAGAATATGAGACCTCACTCTGGCCAAAAGTATGCATGGAATTCTCCTCCCTTCTCTATGCCAACTTGATAGTAGTCATGGAAACGCTTTACAAGTTGACATCCAGGTTATTTAGGGAAGGACAGCAGGTCAAGATTGAAGAGAGACGATGGGGGTATTCCTGCAAGGGTGTGCGCTATTTAAATGGATGGGAAGACCACCCAAAGATGCATTCACACGACATGCTAAGTTGGGTTGGTTTGTACCCGACGTTAAATTCGACCCCTCAATTTTCCTCAATCAAACTCAAGAAAACAGATCAATTCAGACACCAAACCCAGCTGCTGTGTGAATCCAAAAAGAGCTTCCCCACAATTGGGTCAGAGGCAGAGGTGGTATGATGTCGGTTCACACCGGTTCGAGTGAACTGGTACCACGTTTCCCCGAAAATAAGACAGGGTCTTATTTTCTTTTGACCCCCGAAATAAGCGCTGGGCCTAATTTTCGGGGAGATCTTATTTTTGAGGTGTAGGAGGAAGCTAGCATGGTCACCTCATGGCGGTTGCAGTGTTGCAATATTTTGAGGGACGGCTTATTTTTTGGGGGGAACGCTTATTTTAGCGCATGCGTTCAAAAGCTTGACTGGGTTTATTATCCGGGGGAGGTCTTATTTTCAGGGAAACAGGGTAGTGGCGGTGTGAGGCTCCGCCCACCCACCCAGACGTCATCAAGGACCAAGTTCTGGGCATGCCCAGATGTGTGCTCTCGCTAACGAATCGGTAGTGAAGGAAACAGAATACCGTTACTGGGCAG